GATGGTCTCTGTCGGACTGGCTGGGCTCTCATATACCATTTATAAATAGGTCTGCACAGAAATAGTTGTGCTCATTGTGATGCGACAAAAAGGAGAAAGATTAGCTGTAGATGCCTAAAAATAGAGTTCTGTTGCAATGAGAAATGGGAATGAATTTAGCACCAGTTTAAAAAGAATAAATAGGTAAAGGCGAGAGTGATAGGGAATATGGAATTAAAGGTGAAGAGCAAAGCCTTAGATCTCCTTCCGGAGCATAAACTGTGTATCCTGTGATATCATTTAAAGTTATTTGCCATTCTGTAAGTATCTTTGTGCAGCTGTAACCATTTACACCAGCTGACTCTCTGGCTCACATAACTGTGAACTATGTGCAACTGTTTTCCTGTCAGAAATGGCAGTACTCACAGTTCAGTGTGATCAGCTTCAGATTTATTTTTAACTTGATGGAGATCTAGGAGGAAGTTTTTCACACACAGGGTGGTGAGGCATTGGAACAGGTTGCCCAAGGAGGCTGTGGATGCCCCATCCCTGCAGGCATTCAAGGCCAGGCTGGATGTGGCTCTGGGCAGCCTGGGCTGCTGGTTGGCTACCTGCACAGAGCAGGGGGTTGGAACTGGATGAGCATTGTGGTCCTTTGCAACCCAGGCCAGTGTAGGATTCTATGATCTACCATCAACGCCAAGGTTGAACAAAAAAAAAAACGTTTGGCTTAAAAATATATTTCGAGCGTTAGCAGTTTGTGGACGTTGATCTCCCTACCAATGAAGCATGGATGAGGTTCAGAGAATTCTGTGGCACTGGTAGCTGTAGGACAAATGTCCTTTGAGGCACTGGACAACGCTTATTGTCCTGGTGAGGAGGGAGCTGCTGAAATTCATCACTTTGGATCATGAGGTACTCCCGTTTCTTTTACTACAATACTCTAATAATTAATACGAGAGGGCTGCTCCGAAAGTAATGCCTCTCGTTTTATGTTGTTAGCACACAGTGTCAGGGATAGATATTGATGGGCTGGCAGCAGAGGTGGAACCTTCCCACCAATATTACGTTACGTTTTTGTTGCTGTGTGACAGATGGCAGCAGAGGGGCGGTCTGGCAAAATAGCAACAGACATGGCAGCGCAGATGAAGCAAAGGGGTGGAATTAAATTCCTCCATAATCAAAAAATTATGCCTTTTGATGTTCATCAGCGCTTGCAGAATGTTTATAAAGCCCAGTTGGTGGATGTGGGTGCTTTGTTTCAGCAGTGATGATGGTGGGGCATCTTGTTGGTGCAGATTTTTACAAGCTGCATGAAAACGCACAGCTCATGGTGATGGCAGTGTTGAAAAATAGTGCTTTATAGTTGAGAATGTGCTCTATCAAGCTGTGATATTATGCTCTTTATATCTGTTGTTGTTTCTATGGAAAAAAAATGAGGAGGCATTACTTTTGGAGCAATCTGCATATTATTCTTCTCTCAGAGTCTCTGTGAGACTGCTGGCTCTTTTTTTCTTAAGGCTAAATGGCCATTCTTGATTTCTTACCCAATTTTAAGCTCCGAGTCCCAGAGAGTTGGAGCAGAAAGGATTTATGGGAGCTCGGCAGCTCCGTGGTCTGGCTGGGGGCTGCCGAATGCCTCGAGTTGCTCAGCAGGCAGCTGATTTTCTGTAGCAAAAAGAAAAACAAAAAATTGTTCTGAGTGTTGAAGGGTAAAATAGTTAAAGATGAATGCATTTAATTCAAAGGAAAAAAAAAAAAAAAGTTTTCTTTCCAAGAAAGTTGTATTTTCTTTTCTGTTTTTCCTTTTAGCAATAGAGCAATAGCAGTACATGCTCTCCAAGGTGTGTGAACCCCCCCACTGCCCTACCAGTAGAGACTTACGAACTGCCATAGCTTTGGTTTCCCTTTGACTTCTCATTCTGGAGTATCTGGAAGTGTTGGTGTACCCAACTCCTGCTTTAAATAATGCATGTGGGTTTGATAGAAGGGAAACAAGAGCTGTTTTCTAGCTTTGGTTTATCCTAAAATGGACTTGAAGACAGAAAGGAAAAGCCCTGCCCAAATTACTTGCTTCTCACCTCCGCCAAAGATGAGGAATTCAGCTTTGGCCAATGTTTAAATTATCATCTTAAGGGCTGTCACTGGTGGATTGAATCAAAATTGATGATTGATTACAAAATTTAGCATACATGCTATCAAGTTAGCTAGCGGAAAAATGTGTGGTAGGCACAGATTTTATTTTAAAATTATGGAAATATTCCTTAAACATACCCAGAATTCATGAATAAAATGTGAATTATTTTTCTGGTACAGTAATGTGCCTAGAAGGCTGTGGCTGATGGAATTAGTCATAAAAATGTAACTTGTGCAGACTGTGATGCTGTGAAAAAGAAAGCTAATGACTTCCAGTCAGAATCCATGTAAAAAAAATAAAATTAAATGTACTAATGGAGCAATAAGGTTATTAATTCTGAAGGTGGAGCTCTGTCTTCAGCATTGGTGTTGTCAGACTCTCACGTATCATTATTCAAAACGAATATAGGCAAAATCCTTCCTCTATTGATTTAAGGATGCTTTTCTTTCTCTAAATGATAATTTATTTTTACCGTTGTAGTCTTGGATAAAACCTGTGCCTCTTCTGAATGCTCTCATTATCCTGATCGCTCTGGTTGTTCTGGCTACTAGAGAGCCTGATATTGTTCCGGGATGAATAGCAGCAATTCTACAGCCAGTAAAACTGGAGCAAGGTCAATATCTTCCATCCACATCAGCCATGGCTTGGGGGCTGTAGGGTAAGGCAGAGCTCCTGCTAGTTCACTGCTTCTTTTCCATACTTCTTTTTCTACATGTGTATACAGTTATTCATGGGATTGCACTTTGGATCTTCCGAGTGCACACGGGAAAATGTTTTCTTTCTCAGGTGTCTTCCTGTTTTCCCTCTCTTTTGCTTGCTCTCTATTGGCACATGAATGGGAATGGTTCTCTTTGAGTCACTCTGAATAGTAGACAGGTGAGTGGGCCAACTTTTAAAGTAAGTTCTAATTCCCGTTAATAGAAAGGACCAACTTTGCATTCTGAGATCCATTTCTATCCTCACAGTCCTAGCTCTGAACGTTTCATTTCTGAATGCCGTAGCATAATTCTACTCTTCCATGTAGAACACGTGCATGTCAGGAGCGTGAGGATGAGGATCACTGGGAAATGTGTTCATTGTTAGAACAGTGATTTCTTAGCATGCACCAGGCCTGCAGAACTAACTTTGTGCAGAAACCATTTCCTCGAGTTCAGACATGATCTTTCTTCTTGCCCTGCCCAAACCATTCGTGTGACATGATGGCCCAAGAGCCAGAGAGCCGAAGAGAGAGCATTTCTGGATACCAATGGGGGTTCCCATTGGGGCTGTGCTGCACAGTACAGCTCAGATGCTACAATGCTGCTCTGTGCCCCCAAATCACTGTGCCAAAGTGAAGGAAGAGTTTTTTGTTCACAGCTTTGCAGCGATGGCTGTGTTCTGAAAAAGATACACCCAAGTCTTTGGAAACTTTCTATAGGTTTGTTTTAGACTGGAGATGTTGGAAAAATAAATGGCCCAACGATTACTTGCTAATTCATCCTCATGTGCAGCTGTGAAATTATTTTCTGTGCACATAGTGCAAAAACTTCTTCCTAAATATGAGGTTTAGAGACCCTTGGGGAGTAATTAACTATAATGCAGAAGCAAATCTGGGTTCATTGTATACACTGCTCATTTAAGAAACGTTTTTCTGCATGAAGCCCATTAGTAAGTTTCCAAAACCTCCATAAATGTTAAACATTTTATTATAGGACTCTGAACACTTCTTATTTTACGTAAAATCTCATGTAATCCCATACGTTGCATTTAGCTTTTGATCCCTGAATGGCAAATTGCTGTGTAACACAATGTAATCAAGGAAAGGGCTAAAATCTGCCTTTGTGTATTTGTTTAGTAATGACAGAGTCTCTTTTCTTGTGGGTTATACAAAAAGTTCAGGGGGATATTCCATGCTATTTGATTTATTCTACCTCGTGGCCTTCTTCTATGCAGTGCACGTTTCCTTCTTGTGCTAACTGCTCTCCTTCTGTGCTTTGGGTCCTACTCTGTACACCACCAAGTCTTCCCCGTTGTTGGGATCTTGGATTCTGACGTGCTGGAAATGCACTGCTGTTTTCATCTGTTGAATGCTATTGGCAGCCAAAACAATCGTGTTTCTGAGGATGTGATTTAGCCAAGGCTGGGAACACACCCTCTTTACGTTATCTTTTTGTTTGGAGAGGTTGGCAGTGTAACCCTGTATGCTGTCACCTGATGTATATTGGATTTTCTGTACCGTTTGTTTCCAAATAAGACAAAGTATGATCTTCATTACTATGGGAGAGTTCATCTCTAACATCTGAGTGTTCTACAACAACTATGTGCTTTTTCCTCAAAATATGCAAAATATATCCAACCACTCCCAGCTTAAGATGGTTTACCCTGTGCTGTACAGTCTGGGTTGGTTGAAATTTCATGCAATTACTATTTTACACAGTGGCAGAGTATCTGTGAAGTGGCTATCAACCGCAACATATTTTGTTTTTCGCATTTGCCTTTGCAGATTTCACAAAACATTTAATTAGTGATAATCAGCTTTTAACCAGCCAGAGCACACTGATGTGATTCTCTCCTTCTCTCCCCCATGATTATAGGCATAGTCTGTACCTACAAGATAAATTACGTGCAGTCTGGAGAACGTCCTAGCCAGCAGGAAGAGAGAATAAGAATGTCACTTGCATGAGGATTTAAAAAAAAAAAAAGGTGCTGTATGCCCTGTGATTTCGGCTAAGAATGCAATTTTTCTTTCCTTTTCAGAATGGTGGACCTGGGATTCAGCTGGAGATTGCAAAGCCTGCTGCCCCTCAAGGCTGTTGGTCAGCCTTCCGCAGCTCCCAGGGGATCCAGAGGAGCTCCGTGCTGACTTCTGTAAGGTCTGATTCACCATGGGAGATCAAATGATTTCCTGGCTCAGGTTTTGTGAAGTTCGACGTCTGCTTTGGACCCATAATTTGGAAAAGGGATCGCCTCTGCGGCACGGTTAAGAGACAGATAAAGCAGTCCCAGATGATGAGCACTTTAAGTAGCACTGGAATATTGCTCAGCTTGACAACAGTGTCTGTTACGCTGGATTTTAGCTTGCATGGTGGTCTGATGGCTTGGTCTTTAAGCACCAATTTGACTCTGAATCAGAGTTTACCTACATCCGATCCTCTCAATGCCTCTGAGAAGGGTGAAGTCTCTCGGATGTCAGTGAGAGAGAAGAACTGGCCAGCCCTCTTGATCTTGGTCATCATCCTGCTTACCATCGGGGGCAACATACTGGTAATTATGGCTGTGTCCTTGGAGAAGAAGTTGCAGAACGCCACAAACTTCTTCCTGATGTCCTTGGCGGTGGCAGACATGCTGGTGGGTATCCTGGTCATGCCCGTGTCGCTCATTGCAGTGCTGTATGGTAAGTGGCTTCCCTCCTTATTGGCAATCTCTTCTTGTTTCCTTGCTGCCAGGAATGACACATGCACAGCGTCGGTGTTGGTTTTTATTGCTGAGAATGCCCTGAAAAGCTGCAGCACTGAGTCCCTTTTTTATCTTCTCGGTGGAACTGCCCCCAGATTGGCTGGGAAACCAGAGCTTTGGGAAAAGCAGGGCAGTGTGGCTGGAGCTGAGGCAGCTCTAAGTGAGGTCAGTCGGTCCTTGAGCTTGAACCCCACTGACACAAATGGGATTTGAGCACTTAGAGTTTTGCACACAGCAGTTTGGGGCACTCAGAAGAAAGTTCTTGGCATTTGTTCAGCTTGCCCTGTGCCTTTCAGGGAATCATTTTGCTTATCTGTGCCTCAGTTTCCCTATTTCTAACCCAAGAGCAACTTCCTCTGTTTAAACCACTGTGAGACCTGCACGTGTCGGTGTGAGCACTCATTACTGCTTCCCTCCCACACTGGGGTCAATGCATTTGTCCTGCTCTGTGGGAAAGTAGTGATAGGAGCCATGGTTAGCACTTCAGAGGAGTGAAATGCCCACCACATCCAACTCTTTTATCTGTTTGAGACTTCGAACCGATTTCTCAGCGCAGTGTTAGGACTCTCCATCACTGGGTATCACAAAGGGATTTGTGTTTGCTTCTCCATCTCTGATCACCACATTTGTACACGTATAAACATAATGGGTGTGCTTTTAATATGTAGTGTTTTATCTTTTTTCATGTCTGTTTTGAGACTTTCTTTGAAAACTATTTTAATATTGATATTTGTTGGAAGCAAATAATGCTGTTTACTTACTGATTTGATTAGAAATTGGTTAACTGTCCTGTAAAGTAAAACGCAGAGATATTTATGTGACTTCTTCACTTGCTCAAATGATTAAATCAGCCAGAAGTTCATTTTGAAAACGCATTGATCAAGGATACATAATTCCAAAGCGTATATAACCTGTCTACAGAGAGTTTAATCAATATGTGATTTAGATACCGACCTATCCATTGAGTTCTCATGCATAAAACCTTTTATTTTGGGCTATCATAATAGTTCCATCTCTAAATCTTCTGCAAATTACAGTGCAGGTTATTTTATTTTTAGCACTTTGCTGTGGTTCTCCAGAACTTGACAGGGAGAATATAAACACAGAATTATTTGACTGACCTGCTCTTGCATAAATTCTGAGTTACCCAGTGACTCTAAAAGGTGAATTTATGGCAGCGATCCTCAACATATATACTTTCTGAGACTTTGGAAACTAATGGAAATGGATTTTCTGTTGTTCCTAGAAATTATTTCTTAAGGTCATTTAAAGGTGTAAAGTACACTGCATATTTAAAGGCAAGTAAATATCATTGATTTGAAGAGGAACCGCAGTGATTCCTTTTTCTTCTAGCAGAACACTAATATTAGACCTTTAGGAAAATCCTTCCTTCTCCAGCAGCCTGCAAGCACTTTAGGCACCACCATGGTCAGGAGAACACTGAAATTTATCTTTTTTTTCTAAGTGCTACAAATCAAGAGAAGTTTTAAAAAATGCTTTAATAGGTTTTGCATTGTTTGCTGTGGTGGTATAGTTATATCCAACACCAGCAGTGATTAAGGGGAGGGAATATTCACACTTCACCTGAGAGTATCTGGGGTTCACGGCCAAAGACATGGCTTGGAGATGTAGCTGAGAATGAGGGGTCATTTTTATCCTGAACCATAACAAAAAATCCAGTAGATGCTCTCTCTCCACAAATGCTTCCCTTTTCTGTGTGTGCATTTGGTTTTGTTGTGTTGGTTTGTGGTTGTTTTTTTTGGTTGTTGTTGTTTGTTTTGGGTTTTTTTTTGTTCTTTTTTTTTCATTTGTTTGTTTTAAGAAGGAAAAACCAAGTTGCCAATTAATTCCAGAACTGAAGTACAAAGGAAGTAATGGCAGGAGGCATTATGCTGGGTTCTTCACCTTTTAGACAGTGCTCTGATGTATGTATCAATTAGTCTTTCTTGAATTCTTGTACTAATAGTTGAGTTGCTTTTGACAACTTAGTACATTTTCCACGGCATGTAATTCCTAAAGAATTAATGAGCTAATTAATGAGCACGCATCAGAGAGAGTAAATGAAAAATTAAAGCTGTGCTTAATCTCAGTGGAGAAACTTTGGATGTAACTAAAGATACGGGCATGACCCAGGAGGGCATCAGCTGTTCTGTACATAATGGGGCTTCTGACAAGGTACTGAGATTTTTTCCTTAGGGTGATTTGGGGAAAAGCAATGGTAGATTTGCACTGTATCTAGTGGCTATGGGCAAGAGAAAGCCCATAAAATAGTTTTTGCTTGTATTCCTTTATTGGGATGATTAAATCATTAAGGTTGGAAAGGACTGCTAAGATCATCTAGTCCAACCATCCACTAAAGACCATCAGTCTTAGACATCAGCTCTTCCAAGCAGAAAGTCTAGAAGGTACTGAACCTTTCTTTGCCCTAATGACTCCAGACCAATGGGTTAACAGCTGTCATTGAGTTGCCAGTGTGTCCAACTAGTGGCCAGCACATCTCCTGGTCTTCACATGTCCAGGCTTCAGGCTTCTGCCTGAGATTCAAACAGCAGCATGAAGCTGGTGGCCCAACACAGCTTCCAGCAAGGCTGCTATTAGAAGCAGCTTCCATTAGCACCAAGTGCTGGAGCAGCTTTACATCCAGATTATTGTTATTACTGCTAATTATCATCATTGTTATGCAGTGACAGAGATGTGCTGAGTGCTTGCAGCAGCCTCCTGTAGAGGAAGGGTGGGGGGGAGCAGGAGGAGCTGTCAGTCCAACAGCTGCCTCTGCCATCTCCTTTCACCCGATCCAGCTCTGCCTTTCTGCAGCGGTGCTCCCCACAAACAGCAAGCAGCTTGCAGGGAGAGCTGATGAAGGAAGGCAAGGACAAGGCGTTGCTGAGTAAGTTACTGCTCAAGTGAGAATCAAGTTTGGAGAGCTGAAACCAGCATATGAGCTGAGGGCTGCAAATGATGGCATCTGGCAGGAGGAGGGAGTGATGCTACGTGTCCTTCCTCAGCAGCAATCGAATTTGGTCATTTGTATTAGCATCAGTCTGTTCCCAAACCATTTCCAGAAGGAGCCTTTATCTTTTAATCATTATATTGAGGGCTGGCCTTGCTCCATTCACATAGATTTCTTCTTCATTTCATTTCTGATCTCATCAAAGATTATCCATGCCTTATTTTTACCTTTTTATCCCGTTCTTAGTTTTTCTTAAAACTTTTGTTTTGGATGTTGCACAATGAAGACTGGAAGCCTGGCTGGTGGGGAAAGTGCCATCATCTGAGCAAGGTGCAGCACTTGGAAATAGAGACCACAATGCTCTAAAGTATTTTTGTAGTCTTCTTGCTGCCTTTTTAATGCTTTTATTAATTTGACTGATTCTAGTCATTTGTTATTCCTTCCCATTACTTTGACATTTTTATATTTATATTTTGGCTGAAAACCTCAAGACTTTTAAATTCTTTTGTAATGAGAGATGTGAAATCAAATCTGATTCTTGCAAATATGGGCTGGATCCGTTCAGTTGGGGTATTTTTTGTTTGTTTAACTGATGAATTGGAAACATTGGGTGGACCAGGAACGAAGAGGAAATGATAATAAAGCATTACTTTGGGTTTACTGGACTTGTGAATTAAATCTCAGCTGAAAGTTGGGGAGAGCAAATATTGCTACTGAATGCACCCAGCTCCCTGGGGAGGTCTTGTATCATTTCTAAGCAACATCTGCAGGATATATCTTTCTTCTAGGAGAGAAAATTATAACAGCTTTCAATGTCTGACCTGCTCTCAGTGGTTTGGGCAGATGGTAATGTCCTTTAGTGGCAACTGAGCTGTTTTTATGTGTGTGCTGCAGCTTCGCAGGCAGATTTAGAAAGCCTGTCACTTTTAATATAATAGGAAGCAGCCCCATAAAAATTCAGATTTTAGTAAAACCTTGGCTTGCGTTGTAAATTTTTCCTAAATAATTTTGTGGGACCCACTCTAAATCTTTGGTGTGGAAGCTCTTTTCTCTCCCTTGGGATGAATCTGTCCCTTCCTCAGCTGAACTGTGAGCACGCAGAGCAACAGCAGCTGCTAAATTTGCAATGAGAAGCAGTATTATCATGGCAAGTGGGCTGTGACTGACACAGAGATATTTCAGAATAAGAGGAGGGAGCGGAGCTGGCAGAGCTTGCTGTAAGCACATCCCAAGCACTGGTCTGAATGGCTCCCTCAGAAATCCTGTGCCCCACAAGGAAGGTGGGAACAAAGCCTCTTGGTCAGTTCTTTGGCCCTGTACTGAATGAGACTTGTGATGGATCCGGGCTGCTCCTTGTGTCTGAATTCCTGCTGTGTTTGTCTGGAAGGAAGATTTGAGTCTTTCCCCAAACCCCCAACCAGGCTGTGCTCTGCTGAGTGCAACATGTAGGGGCCAAAGCCACAATGAGTTCTGTGGGACAACGATGCCAAGGAGCAGCCAACCATCACTATCACCCAGCCCCCGTGATATCCTGACGTCCATCTTGCCTGAGCTGCCATCTGTTTCCCAAGGTAGGACAAGTGAACTAGGTGTTAATAACCAACGTAACAAATGCACAAGTGTCCCTCCTCTGCTCTCAGCAAAGCTTCATTAACTCCAGTTGCAGGAATGAAGGTTACATGGCACAAGGTGTGCTTGCATGCTCTTTCTGTTTGAAAACACGTGCTGTTACTCGTTACGTGCTCTGGAAGCGAATGCTTCCATCTGCAAAGCTGCTTCTCCTCTTCCTGCTCTGCTGTAGCCCATGGAAATCTTGTCTCCATTGTGCTGTGTACCCAAATGTCTTTGCCATCCACCTGCCAAACCCAGTACTCAGGAGTCCAGTCAGCTCCGCACATGCACAACTCCCCATGATGACATATCATGGCAGCTAGAGATGCTTCAAATCCTTCTGTGTAAATATAGTTTTTAAACTAAAATATGGTGTG